GGGGGGGGTCGGAGGGGGGGGCCCCAAAAAAAAAAAAAAAAAACGGGGGGGAAAGTCAGAGGATGTGCGATGAGTAATCTCAGCTCTCAATACTGTCTCCGTCACGGACATGTAGCCTATGGAGGAAATGCACAGATGCCCACATTCTGCAGAATCAGCTCAGAAATCCCACTTTGATAGGGTGGGAATGTGTGACAATATAGGAGGTGCTGAGCTGTAGCTTTAACACGGTCGCCTCCTGGAGGACCACACTCCACTCCGTGATGTTCGAACACCGACCAACGACGGCGTCATCTGTGAAAACACACACAAATCAGTGAAAGCCTGGAATTATTTTCTTATTCTGATGCCAAGTCATTGTCAAGAAGTTTGAAAATGACGCCATTCATTTCATTTGAATTTCTTCTTTTCCTGTAAATTCAAAATACTTCAAATACAGGTATATAAACAGCAGTGTCATCAGTATAGAATGTCACCTGGCTCCACGAGGCAAAGGGGAAACTGTGAACAATTTGGTTTTTTATTAATATTATTTAGGCTGTTCAAATAAAATTGACTTGCTCTAACTCTGATGGAAACATATTTGGTTTTTTTTCATAATTACAGATTATTTGTCTTAGTAATTTTTTTACTTACCCACATACATTTTCTCATAAATTTCTCATAAATTATTATTTTTTCTCATAATATATATATATATATTTAAGAAAAACACCCATTATTTCCCCTGTCATCTAATTTGTTATGACAACTCTGGCACAATGAAGGAAAGCTGATTATTCCTGTGGTTATCTGTGACGGGGGGAGGTGGGGGGGGGGCACACCAGAAGAAAGGCTGTCTTTTAAGATTAAAGCAGGTGATAATAAAATCTTCCCTGGTGTCAGACCACTGCGGCCCGCTTCTCCTCTCCATCCCCTAAATCTCCTGTTGTTTTTAATGAGAAACGGGGAAACGCGGCCAACGAGGCTGACATAGTAATGATGAAAATCTCTCAGGAACCGTGTGATAAATGTGCAAAATGTTGCTTCAGAGGTGTATTACTCCTGGAACCTGAAAACTCTTTTGGTTATTCAACGCAGGACCACTGTTACACGTTTCTGCTATGTTTTTACGCAGCAGCATCTCACACAATGCATCATGCCATAAATACATACATACATACATACATACATATATATATATATATACATACATACATACATATATATAAGGTATTTCCTTGTTAAATTTTAAATTCAGAATTTCAATGAATCTTTGACTTTTGCCGCATTTCTGGAAGCTGCCTACCCTGAGTAAGACCCGGTGTCCCACCTGGGGTCCCCGACCCAGATGTTTTGTTTATAAAAAATACATATATATATATATATATATATTCAAGTCGAAATTCAATGTTGTTGAAAATGAACTTCTGGTTTAATTTTTATTTTTTATTCATAGTCCCGTTAATTTAGCCAGTGAAGCATCACAAAAGTCTAATCAAATCTTAATCAAATCTTTTTTTTCTCTCCCAGTGACTAGAACGAAAAACAAGATAATGATTAAAAATAAATTATTAAAAAGTCTTTTTTTTTTAACTTTTCACCCAAACTTTTCCATACCAGGGTTTTCCTCACTGTACAGCTGCTTCTGATACCATTCATTACAAGTGTTCAGCTGTGAAAGTCATTCTGGAGCCTTTTGTGTTCATTCTGGGTTTGATGTCATCTAAGCATGTGCTGTAGCCTTTGGTTCACGGCTAAAGGCACAATTCAATAAGAGTTTCCCCTGACATTAACCAACAAAAGAGGAATTGGCAGCAGAGTGATTTGGTTGTGTTGATGGATTCTGCCTCTAAGGACGTATGAATAAGAAGAAACTCACGGCCAAGACATAGGATAGAACTGGGAAAAAAAACCACAAAAGATTTATGTTAGACACAACGATATCTAGTGGAGGAGCAATATTTTGACCAGGGCTGTTTTAGAGTCAATAAAACTTAAAGCATAAACACAGGCTGCAGTTGTTATGATGGAGTTGGATGATGAAAAAAAGCTGTAACATTTTTTTTTTCATTATTATTTGTTTATTTCAAACTCTTGAATTCACGGCGGCACAGTGAAGGAGAGGTTTGTTCCGCTGCCTTACAGCAAGAAGGTCACATGTTCAATAATGTTCTTCCTCTGTTTTCCATGTACTCTGACTTCCTCTTAAGAAATAAACAAATTAGGTTAACTGGACACTGATTAACAGTAGGTGTGAACGTGAGTCCGCCTGTAGTACAGTCCATGTACAGAGTACATGTACAGTAGACAGCAAGTCCATAAAGAATCCAACACAAACGAGGTCTGCAGCGCCGACAGTTGTGTTTATAACCTCGGTGTTTACACCAGCAATCAACTGAAGGCAAAGACAAGAAGAAGAAGAAGAAGAAAAAACTAAAATCATTTTGTGTTCTCTCCAGGAGCGGTGTAGTATCTCAAAGGTAAAAAGTAAATGCCAACGTGCAGCTTTGAAAAGACGGTTCTCAAACCAAGTGGCTGCCAAGCCACATGATACTGTAAATTAATTTCTATTTATGCATGCTGTTCACCCTAGGCATGGCTGGCCATTCTTAATAATTCACCACGGCCGTGTAATGCTTTTAAAGAAAAGAAAAGACTGGTCGCAGATAAAAGAGCCAAGTTTATAAGTGCAGCGCTAATGAAGTCAATGAGCATAAACATCTATCTGTGGAATTAATGCCAGGCACAAACTGTGAGCTTCCCTACATCACCGTAAACATCTTTGGATTCACGTTCCCTGTTAGATGTCTCCACTTAATGCAAGCCATATGATACTGCAAGATGTTTATTACCCACTGATGACCTAAGCTATTAGTACTACTCAAATAC